TCAAGAAACTGCTTGATTACAGTGGGGACAGGAGACACAGAGAGAATTAAAAAGTGCTGTGAGGAGGAAGATGTGGTTCACTGACTGCTACCAGGGGGTTGTCAGAGAAGGTTTCCCTGAGGAAGTGTCATTTCAGCTGGAACCCAAAGACTTGAGCAGGGCTGACCTGGGTGTGGGGTGGGAGCAGCGGTGAGAGGAAACCTTCAGGCAGAGAACGCAGTACGTGCCGGTGTCCAAGGCGGTGCGAGCTGGCCCAGGGCCATGGGAGGAGGGGGAGGCCCGGCGAGGCCGGGGCAGCACAGCAGCTGGACTGCAGGGCCTCGCGGGCCCCTGAGGACTTGAGACTTGACTTTCTGACCCTGCTGAGCCTTAAGCAGTGATGCAGAAAGCAGGCAGCACTTTCTCTCTACGAGCCAGGAGCCGCTATAAAGCACGGGTGATGTGGCTTCAGAGGCCAGAAGTAGTTGCTCTCAGATGACCTCTAAGGTTATGGGAGTAGGTCCTTGCCTTTGTTGGAAAGATTAACAGCGAGAGATAGTAGTTTAAAAACCAACAAACGAGCATACACTAACCGTGGGCTCCAGCCTGGGAGCATGACTGTAAGATGATCGGAGCTGTTAGATTCCTTGCCCCCAGTACTCCCCTTCGGTTGGGCTCACTTCTAGGTTGTGACATAGGAATACATATATACATTTCTGAAGTGGAAATAGCTGTATTGACAAATACAATTTACCATTCAGGAAAGAACAAAGAACATCAGATACCTCAGTTCTCGGATAGGTCTAGTTGTGTCTGAACTCGGGGCCCGTGAATGACTTCGAGAGTCCTATCAACTGTGGAAAACTGCATGTAAAATTTTGTGCAGACATGTATTTTATTTTTCAGAACGTTCTGAAAGGGATCTGTGACCCAAGAAAGATTTGAAGACACTGATAAATCAAATGACCTTTAGGTTTCAGAGGAAATATTTATGTCATTTCACAAGGCTGAAGTGGGGTAATTGGGTGGAGACATCGGTCATTGGGTTTGAAACAACCTGGAGGTCCGAAAGTGCCTGGGGCTGCTTGTGAGCTGTGTCACAGGGGACTTTATGCAGACCACCTCTTGGAGATGCCGTTAAGTGCCTAGATTGAAGGGGACATTGAGTTAGAGGTCCCAGTGTCCTTTACTTTTCCAATTAAGGACCTTTAAAGGAGCACGCCAACCTACTTGGAGGAAATCAGAAGAGGACACGGTTTCCAGGGCTTCAGAGCTCAATGCCAGAAATCTGAGAATGACGTGACTGTTCCTGCTGCAGCAGAGGTGTGGGAATAGTTGAGACTGAAGCTTCATCCTAAGGAAGCCTTTGGAAGTCCTGAGAAGGAGCCTTCGGACGCGCTGGGAAAAACGGTCAGAAACCGCTGGGAGTCTGACTGTGACTGGGGAGCAGGATGGGGAGGCGGCCTTCTCTGGTCGTCTAGAAGCTCACTTTCCACCTGGAAGTACGACTCACACCTTGGTCTAAGCCTGCGACTTACAGGAGTTTGTGCTTCTAAAGCCTGGTTCTTGGACCAGCAGACCGGCTGATCAGCCGAGCGCTTCAGAAGAACCAGCCAGCTCTCCTTTCTCTAAAGGCCTCTGTAATGTAAATAGGAACAGCGATCTTTCCAAGTTATTACCCTGTTAACAGGTTGACAGATATGTGCAAATTGTGACTCACTGCTCAATTTGGCACTAAATTAATGTCGTTCCGCACCGCGTCTGCTCAAGTGTAAACTAGTCACCACTGCTGTGTTAGTGCTTGTTTGCCTATATTCCAAAGGTAAAAATTAAAGTAATTCCATCCTGCCGCAGAACGGAGCGCGGCATATGGTGCAAGTGGGGGGGGGCGCTGTTCCTACCTGTCCTCCGCCCTGCGCTCAGAGCCGGCCGTACACGCCGGAGGGCACATCCGGGAGGAGACCGAGACCACCTCCCATACCGAACCCCCCGTCCCCCGCTCTCCCCAGCGGAAAGGAAATGTCATCTTGCCTCCAGCTTTTTAATTTGCCATTCCAAGCTTTCCTTATTTCTGTCAAGTCACTAGCGGTGGATCTGCGTTTTGAAGGTTGGGTCTATTTGAAAATGAAATGTTTTGATTTTGCTTCTAGGATTCAGACATTGTTTTCGTCAGTTAAAGATGCAGCTGACTTTCTCTCTTTCTCTTTTTGGCAAATACATAGTGTCACCTGTAAAAAGGAAATTTGCATCTCCTTTATGTTAGGCACGGGAATGAAAAACAGTCTCCTTGAAATGCATTTTTACAAGATTAATAAAATCTTCGGATTGAGTTTGCTGAGCTTTATCTGAGATCATTAGTTGGGGAGGGAACAAAAACTCCTGCCTCAGACTCTCTGCTTTCCCATGTCTGCAGCAGATACTTTCCCTAGGAGTTCTTCTCCTGCCACTGCCCTTCCTTTATAAAGAGTCATAAATAAAGGAGTCCAGAAGTGGCAAGGAGCTTTTGTTGTCTGTCCACGGAGAACTCGGACCCCTACGAAGAGCAAGCAAAGTCGGCTAGCTGGCATAGACTCCTGAAAATCTACACACTGAACTTGGTTTCTGGAATCATCTCCTAACCTACCCATTCCCCTAAATTCCTAGCCTACGAAAGAGACAAGTTTTCTAGAAAGTGTTTTGAAACCTTCAAGGTGAAAGATACAAGGGGGAGCAAATTATGACGTTCCCTTTGTGCTGAAGTTCTGCATATTCATTTGCATTCTGCTGTCCAGAGCTATGATGACTATTGATTGAGGATCGGTGCAAAAGACCTTGCCCGTCCCCTTCCTATTAACATACACTTAGCAATGACCTCCATTCACGCAGGACGTGGATTTTTGCTCCCTGCTGGGGCTGAAGTAATGGTGTAAACCACACACATAGAGTTAGCAAAGAAGTATGTTAATGCAGAAATGTTTCCAGTGACCTGGTGTAAACTTTTGACAGGAAGTTTGCCATGTGTCTTCCACCACTTCAAGAAACAGGCGGTAATGAAAAAAAATGAGTGAATTTCCTCCTTTCTTCATCTTTTCACCTCCTTTATAGCATTTAAGCTTAGAGCCAAGGTTGTGTGTCGTGAAGCTGTAAATCTGGAAGCGACCGTGGGAGCTGCCGCGTGATGTCTTAGTCAGTCTGGTTCTTAGCCACCCAGGAAAGATTGTTTTCTAAACCATTTTCAAAATCAATAGAATGACGTCTTACCTTTAAGAAATGCCTCTTGTTCTTTCTGAGCTAGGTCGCTTTTTGATGCCATGTCCTCCTCTTAGGGTCCGTCTAGAGATGGAAGGTAGCTGTTTGGTACCCGGTTTGTAAACGCCATTTGCATACTCGAAGAATCTCCAGGTGTCCCCGAAGCTCCCTTCTCCCCAGGAGCCAGCAGCCTTCTGCTCACCTCCTCCTCTTCTCACCTGTCTCTGCTCCAGTCTTACCATTGTCATCACTTAACCGCTGGGCCTTCTGAAGTTTTTCCTCTTCCTTTTTCAGGTCCTTTTTCAAGTTTAAAACTGGTATACCATTCTCTAAGGAAAACCGGATAGGTTAATCACAGGATTACTCCATGCCTTCCATGGCTCATACACTGATGATCACTTTTTAGCGAATGGTGTTACGTTGTCTGCTACCTGCCATGAGCCCCAGGTTTCAAACTAAAATCTTTTCATGTTGTGAGTGGAGAGCTGCCCTCCCTCTTCTCCCAAGAGAACATAGCTTTTCTATGTCCCTGATCTAATGGACATGTAATTTAATTTGTCATATCCAATGGATACGAAATCCAATGTAAAATCCTTAACAGATAGATCCGCGTCTCAGCTATTATATTATACGTCCCCTTTGGGTCCCTGTGATTGGATGGTGAGCACAAATGCTGCTATGATTTTATTCTCGGAGGATCTGAGCCAGACCCAGCTCTGTTGATGCCGTGGGATGGCGTTTTCTGAATGAGCTTCCACTGGTGGTGGGGAGGGGCAGGGATTTGTCCCGACTGAGAGGGGACGTTTTTGCAGCATATGCCCATGATATACCAATAGGAGTATTTATAATTTTTGAGTCCTCGGTATCACCAGGCATCATGCTAAGTGCTTAGTGTCAGTTATCTCCATAATGATTAACACTTTTAAGACATACAGGTTCTTTGGGCCAGAAGAACAAAGGACTGCCTTTCAGAGGAATGTTTCCAAGGAAAAATGGAGCTGATAGATTGTCTGATGTGTTTGTCTGCAGTGAGAGGAATTTTAGAGCCAGGTAGAGAGTTTAAGGGATAAAACTGTAATAGGTACGCAGAAGACTAATCAAATGAAAATCCAGTTAAACAAAAAACTGCACAAGTAAATGAATGTACTTATGAGCCACTATGTGGCTCGGCTGTTAAAAAATATACGCAGAGATTTCAGGATGTAAACAACAAATACTGATTTAAGCAAAAATTGTGATATAATCTGAATTTATTAGACTCAAACCAGGAAAACAGGACTAACTTCAGGTATTTAAAACAAAAGGAATTCAATCCAGAGAATTGATTTTTCAGGTGATTGAGATGAGAAGCCAAGCAGGGAACAGTGAAGCCAGCACAGGTGAGTGAAACAAGAAGCTGCTTCCATCCCTGGACCAGGACAGAGGGAGGGGCCCTGCGATTGGAGCCCAGTGGCCAGAAAGGAGGCAGAGCTAAATTCTGATCTATGGAAGAAAGCCATGAGGTCATACCTTGAAATGAAAAACCAAGAACTAGCATTAAAAGCATATCACGTGGAACGACGAAGGCAAATACCAAAAGAAATCACTAAAAAATGGGCAGTTCTGGAAGGCAGGAGGAAGAGCTGGGGACTAGTATTTCTCCTAAAAAGCCTCGTAAATCGCATTTGCCTTCTTAAGAATGTATTTCATTGACGAAAAATTAAGTTGAAAAGAGAAGTCTTGCGTGCGCTGTAGATTTGTACTTCAGCGACCAGGGTTCCAGTTCAGACACGTGTGTTTCTTTTCCCACCCAGATACGTTGATGACGTGATCAGCCGCATTGACAGGATGTTTCCTGAAATGTCCATCCACTTATCCAGACCCAATGGAACATCGGCCATGCTTCTGGTGAGTGCTTCCTGACCTATTTGTAGGGACATGTGAGAGAAAATTGGCCTCAAGGTTAAATCTGTTTCTGTGTTGTCAGATCTCTAGAATGGAAATTAAATCCCAGCTTGGTGGTGAATAGCATATTTCTTTTTACTGGCATTGTGTAGGTTAAGCATTCTGCATGCTGAACCCTTGCTTTTGAATGAAATTACAGAGCCATCTGAGAGTTACCCAGACAGGAGAGACAGCGTGAGACCTTTTCACCTGTAAGTCAGTTCATGGTTTGGGTGAATCTGTTCTACGTTGTTACCCAAAGACAGCAGGAATGCTCGGCTATTGGATCCTGCTCACGAAAACAGCCTCTTAAAACAGAAACAGGTTCTGTGGAAAATCATTTTTTTTAATCTGTTACGTATTTGAAGAAAGTGTTCTGAGACCTTGTCACTGACAGCTTCTGATTTTGTTGTTTCTGTTTGGGGTTTGCTTTAAGCAGGTTGACATGGTGAGCCTCACCGTTAATGTTTATATTTGCACAAATTCACCAAAGACAGGTGTGTTTGGGAAAGAAAGTGGAATAGAAATGTCAGATTATGTTAGTAGTTAGAAAGGCGTAGAAACTTCAGCGATGAGTCGCGTTTCTAAACACTGTGAACTAATACACGCTGGAAGGCCACTTCCCTGGGCACAGGTTTTGAGGAGCCACCACCTTTACAGAAAGCAGAATAAGTCGAATCAGAGCAGTGATTTTTGATGCATATCAGGAAGGTGAGCTTCAGGGCTGGTGTCTTTTACGTCTCTCCAGCCCTGCTGCTCCGGGGCCCGGTGTGAAGTCCGCATAGTTTAGCATTTTACTTTCATAAACTCTTACAAATAGCCAGTCACCCAGGATGAGTTACTGTTCACTCAGTCCGTTCACCCAAAGACAACAGGCTTATTGTGTGTGCACGTGTGTGTGTGTTTTCTCTTAGGGGAGGAGAAGATGTGGGATTATTAAATGGGTGGTATTTCGTGTGGGAGAAAAAATTAGTGAGGTTCAGCCGGGTCACAAGCTACTTTAAAATTCTTTCAGTTGAAAAAAACACAGGGACTGAGATAACAGTGCTCTCTTAATGGAAGAATAAAACAGTTCGGATCTGTCTGTAAAACACACGATAGTTTCAGCTTCGTTAAACGTACAAATTGTCGAACTTTCAGGTCCTCAGGACCCAGCGGCTGAAACATAAATCCTGCTTTGGGAATACTTGACAGGGACCAAGGAGTTAATGAAGACAGAAACGAAAGCATCCTCAGTGAGATAGCTTTGTTCAAATTATCTCTGGGTCCTTGAGCTTCCGTTTCGTGATGAAGGTAGGACTTTGGCATTGACAGGAACGAGCGCAGAGAACGGGGGTTGTGGATAAACGGGTCTGAGACATTCGAGTCACTGCCACCTGAGAAAGCTGGCTTTTTTTCACAATGACCTGCCAGCCTCATCTGCTTTCTCGCGGAGCTTCTGTTTAATAGACTGATGGGAGAGTTTAGGGACTCGACTCAAGAGCGGAATCCTGTTTTATATGTGCTGGTTTTACTGCCACGAGTGGCTGATGCAGAGCACTCTGCGTCTGGCCGGCTGGCTGTTATCTTTCTTGGGTGACATGGGAAGTCACATAACAGGGTGCTTGTTTATAGGAAAAGCAGTGTGTGATCTGACTCAGATTCAAATTGCTGGGTGGATAACCATCCTTTTAACATAATCGCTGTCTTTGGCTTCTTCACTTTTAAAAAGGTGGTGTTTTATTAAATTACAGATCTCTAGGCCATTTGCTGCAGCCACACACTTCTTCTCCGAGGTTGAAGGGAATCCTCACCTGGGAGGAGAGCAGGACCGGTAGCTGCCACCTCCCCTGACCCTTGCTGGTCACCTGTTCCCTCTCACAGGTGGAGAAGGCTGGGGCTGTGCTGTGGGCAGTCGAACCCCGCCGCACGAGCTTCAGGCAGGGGTCAGAAGTTGTTTTCTGGAGATTTGTCGGGAGTGAATCATGCTAATCTGGAAGGCAGTGGACTCTGAATGCTCTGGGAATCGAGTGAGACTGACGGGGAGGGACCAGCTGCTGAAGCAGGACACATTTGAGCAGTCTCTGCTGACATCTCCCTTTACCTGCGTTGGCCGAGGCCTGCAGCGTGCCTGTGTGCTTTTTAATAAAACTGCATTTCCTCCTGAGTCGGCCAGGCTCCCTTGAGTGCAGGCAACAGAAACCTGCCCTGCTCAACTTGAGCAGGAAGAGGGTGGGTTTGGGTCTTCGTTTTGCCTTTTAATGATGCTGGATGCTCACAGACACAGCGAGCTGACCTGCCAGGAGGGACCAAAACCAGAGTCGCCCCAGGGGTGCCGGCTCAGGACAGCTGTCCCTTTGGGACTCTGTGGCCCAGGTGATCTGGCATCAGCTGCCTCTCGTCCTGTGCCGGTGCTCACCCCTCCCGGGAGAAACGCTCACGCCGCCCGACCCACCCCCGTTCCTTCCCTGGCGTGGGGACACGTCCTCCCTTGGCAGCTGCACAGGACTGTGGAGTGGGGGGGTCAGTCCCCAGAGGAAGAGAGATAGGGCTGAGAAAGCAGCCTCCCTCCAGACACGCATCCCCAGTAGCGAGCTCGTGGCTTACCTGGCGCTCGTCTCTTACACCCTCTGGGTGGCCCTCGAGGTAGCCTCCCCAGTTTCCATTTACAAGTGAGGAAACCAAGGCAGCTGTCTCTCCAGGCTCATGCAGCCCGGACACGGCTTCCCGCCTCCAGGCTGCTTCCTCCTCCCATCTCTGTTGTCATTCATGATGAGGGGGAGTAAGATTTAGACTACCAGGCACCAGGAGGGTCGTTTTTTTCCTTAATTTTTTCAAATTGTGTAATATGATACATACAAAGGAATATATGTAACGTGTTTGTCCATTATAAAGTGTAGTGACCAGCCCGTGACTCACCACTCAATCAGAGAAGCAGAACACAACCAACATGTGCTTCTCCCCAGACCCTGCCTCTCCCCCCAGAATCACCACCGTCCTGCCAAGCTTCCCCTTCTCTTCCTTTCTTAAGTACCGTTTACAACGTGGGCATGTATCCCTAGATAAGGTATCACTGAGCTTTGTTGAAGTTTGAACTTTATAAAACTGTCGTGCTGTGTGACTGGTTCTGAGACGTGTCGCGTTGGTGGTTGTCGCTGGTGATTTGGCTGTCTCGGGTGTTAGGTCCCAGTCCACTCTGCAGCTGAGCACGCTTTATTCCTCCTCCGGTCAGTGCATGTTTGAGTCGTTTCCGGTTTTGCTTTTTAAATAGTGGTGGTGTGAGCGTGCTTGCACTTACAGCAGGGTATCTTTTTAAGCTTTAGCCCAAGCCACAGAGCCAGTGCAGGCTGGAGGAAGGCGAGTGTTGGGAGCAGTGGGGCACAGTTTTTCCAGAAGAGTCACTTAAGTTGTGAGATACAGTGGCCACACCGGTGTACAGATGGGCCCAGAAATGGCTCTGGCTAAATGGCCTGGCCTCCGCGGTCAGCATGTCCCTCTGACTTTGTTGTCGCTATGGATCTCCTCTGATTTTGGTGTTTGAGCACAGAGAGGTTTTCGGATTATTTGTGCACATGCATGGGAAAAAATGGCATATACTCGAGTATTCCATGAACAAAGGGTAGTTTTGCTGGTCCCGTTTTGGTTTCCTCCTTCACCAAGCAATCACTGCCAAGAAGCAGCGAGGTGCCTTGGATGCACCGTAACGGGGAGCCCCCAGCCTGTCATCAGCTGTTTCTACACGATGTGGAAGAAAGGAAAACATGAGGACTGTATATAGAATTGGCACTTTTTAAAGTGATCTGGGGGTCAGTTTAGCCATCTAAAGCTAAGCCTGCCTTTTCTCGTTGGCCTGGAGGCCTCGGAACCTTTGGGAGCAGTCACCTTCCAGCCAGAGCCCCGTGCTTGACCTGGAGGTACAGGCGCGAATCCACTTCCTGCTCATCTACCCACAGGGAGGGCAGGTGTAGGAGTTGGAGCCGGGGGAGGGAAGGGAGGGCAGATGGGACTGAGTTAGTATTTGCTGAGTGAATACACAAATGACAGAAGCATCCTTCTCTAGCGGATGTATTGGTTTCCCCACGCCCTCATGGCTGCTACTCAGGGAGGGGAAGGAGCAGGCATTGATACTAACCTGGTTCCAGAACTCCCAGGACAGCTGTGGCCTCGACCTTCTGGCGTCTCCATGAACCTTAGGTAATGGAACAGAGCCTGTACCGGCCAAGTCCTAGCCAGCGTGAAACCCGACCCCTCGGCCTCCTGCACAGCCTTTAACCACACTGCGGCCAGCTCCCTCACTCTGCTGGGGGGCTGCTTTGGTGCTGTGTAAGTTAATAACTCGTGACAGAATAAATCCTGTTTCGTTCTTTGAGGAGATGAGCTCAGTCATCCCAAAATAAACCTAGCTATGTTGATATTTAGTTTCAGTTAATCTGCCGCCTAACATCCCATTATTAATTTTCTTCCAACAGTCAAAATATTGTAAGAGCTTAACTGAGTCAGACTAGAACAAGCAGCTGGCTTCTTTCGGCATTTAAAATATTAATCCGCAATTTTTGACTGATCCACTAGGTATAAAAATGTAAGAAAAGAAGAAAAAGATGAAGCTGCATCCATGGCATTTGAAACATATCTTAATATTTTATAAAGTAATCTTTCTTCATATGTTACACGATTTACAACAGATAAAACTCATTTGTCAATCTCTCTAATATAGTTTTAACTAACCTTCAATTTCTCTAGCGTCTTGGTGCCTTATTTTTGAATGACACATCTGTTTTAAACCGTTTAGACGCATTATCTCATACTACTGTATCCCAGGCTCTCTGAGACAGGGAAGACGGGAGCAGTTAAACTGCTTAACTAACCTGGGCCTTGATTGCCCTGCTGGGTTCAGTAGTTCCAAAACCTTAGTAGGCCTAGGACTCACCAGTGTAGTTTGTGGAAAAGGCACGTTCCTGGCAGGCAGCACAGAAATTCAGATCCAG